GGGGGGGGCAATGGCAGGACCTCTGCCACGTAGCTTCCACTTGGATCTAGAGCCTTCATGACTTCAGCCTGTGTCACCTGCCAGCTAAAGGCAGTCACAGGTCACAGACCAAGCAACCAGAGGATTGGAGCTGACCAACCATTTCAGCTCTAAGGGATTCTCAATCTTGTGCTTCCATTGCACAGTGGCTGGCACATAGTAGGTGCTTTGTGAAGCTCTCATGACTAATTGGTTCTTCTCTCTCAGACAGCTTCACCTCCTAAACGGTCCTTGAATCAGTGCTGAGCTCAAAGCCTCACTGTCTCCAGCCTGGATTCCTGTGATAACCTCCCACCTGGCCCCACCTGTAGGCATCTCTCCCCTTCCCCCCTGCACAGCCCGGGATGCTCCAGCTAAGACACGAGTCCTAGTTACCCCTTTTCAAAGGCTCCTCATAATCTCCAGGGTCAAGCCCAAGCTCCTGACCCTTCCTTGTCTACTTGTTCAACCCCATCCCACACAACTTGCTCTCCTACCCCAGGGTCCTAAAGCGCCAGTGGCTTGGAGCTCCTGCCAAACTGCCAGTTAGCATCTCCAGCAGTGGCTCACTCCCCTCTGCCCAGAATGCCCTACCCATTGCTTTTCTCCTGGTTCAGGCAGATACCACCTCCTCCAGGAAGCCCTACCCATCACCCGTGCAAGGCTGGCGGAATGCCCTGTGCGTTCTGCTACAACTGCACCAACCACTTTCTGCTGTACATGTTTGTGTGTGTGTTTCCCCCTGCAGAACCGAGGGGCCCTCGTGGTCAGGAGCCAAACTGCACCCCGAATCAGGCTGGTGTGAGTCTCCTTTCACAGAGCCTGATCCACGTGGGTGGCGCAAGAGCGACGCTAACCTGATTGTCGCCAGCTATTCTTTTGTCTGCTCAAGGATTTGGCCTTTTCTGCCCCTGCCCTCAAGGAAGGCTTCTTGGACTTTTGTGATATAGAATCAAGGGGAGACAGGGACTGGGAGGGGTGGTGGTCCCTATGCTCCCTTTCACAGTATTTGAGAAATGCAAGGAAAGGCCTGACTTACTTTGCAATTGCTTGTCTTTGATCATGATTCCACTGAGACAGGACTTAATTGGTGTCGGTTCTATAAGCATTTACGTATTTTTGACTCACTGACTGACTAAACACCAACCCCACGGGTCCACAGAGAGAGGGAGTGGGAGGTGGGCAGGAGGCAGGCGCGCAGGCTTCAGGGAGGATTCTGCCCGCTGCCTCCCGCAGCAGCAGGGGTGGGGGCCAGCAGCCTGCTAAGCAGCGGGAGTCCCTTGGGAGAGCACGGTGACTGTGACTGATCTCACACTAGTCTCCCCATCGCTCTGGCAGAGATGCTTAAGGATAATCTAGTCACCCCTTCTGACCTGCAGTATTCCGTCTCTTCCCTGCTTGATATGCGGGATCTTCACAAACCTGGGGCAGGGGGGACATGGGGCTCCATGGTGTTAAAATAATGCCAGGATCCTTTGGTGCTAATGGGCAGATGCCCCAAAGCACAAAATACCCACAACTCAACGGAGACCTGGGGAAGGATGTCCCAGGACCGGGGTTACAGTGGCAAGCTCATTCATCACATTTCTTCCCCTTCCTCCTCTTCTGTCATCTGCCCTCCCTGGTCACAGTGTATGATTGGGAGCGGGCACGGGTTTGAATTACTGGGAGCGTCGCTTTTGTTGTGAGGGGTATGCCTTGTCCAAAGCATCCACCCTGGAGGTGGGTTCGGCTGCCCCGTTGCCTAGATCCCATGTGGCGCCTATGTGCACAAGGTTTCAAAAAAATAAGACCTTCTCAAGTGACAGTCCCTCGGCTCGTTCTCTGTCTCCTTTTATAGACCCCAAAGGGCTGCAGGCACGGAAGGGGCAGATGACCCCAGATGACAATGAGCTCACTAAGGCATCACAGAGCAGAGAAGCAGCCAGTTGACAAGACTCATTTCCTTCGGAGGCACCCCCTTGGCTTGAGCATCCGTGCCCATTGTCTGGGATTTCGAGCCAGGGGGCCAGGCCTCTGCTGGGAGGGCTTTGTGAAACCCAAACCTTGGCTAATTTGCCATTCGGTTGCTGTCGCCACCTTTCTCCCTGCACAGCAGCTGCTATCGTAAATCTTCCAGGTCTATTAACAAAGCGTTTAGGCTCATAAATCTTCTGGCCCTTGCTCTTCCATCCTCAACGAAACACTGTGTGTCTGAAGGCTGATTTTTTTCCCCCTCTAATTCCCCAAAGGTTGAGTCTAGGATGGCTCGGGGATGAATGCTTGTATTCTGTCCACGTCTGACTTTTCAAATTGGAGATGGGAAAATACCAGGAGGGAGACTGTCCCAAGAGCTTCCCCCAGGAGGCATCACCAAATGGATCCAGCTGGGCTTTGCCAGGAGGCGGGGAAGACGGAGGGCCTTCCCCTCCAGTGGCGTGAGCCCCTGGACCACCTGGTTGGGGACCTGGCATTCTCATCATGCCCCAGAAGAGCTGTCCGCTGCAGAGAATGAAAACCAGCACCAGCCATGCCCACTTCTCTGGGGAGAGGCCAGCTTTCCCCCCCACCCCGGCTCACTCTTGGATGGATCTGCAATTTGACTGTCACCATGGAAACTCAGAGTTTTGGCACATGAAGGTGGGGGGAAGCCTTCCCTTTTGGAAAGTCTTTCCAGACTGCCTGAAAGGACAGGGGTGGCAGCTGCAGTCCTGTGGAGACACCGTGCCTGGGACAGTCCAGAGGACAGGC